GAGGACTCTCACCTGAACCTTAGATTGTGCTAATCGCCCCCAGAGGCCCTCCTCCAAACACTGTAGTCAGCGTAAGCTTCGACCCTCCTAATACCTCAGAATGGGGATTACATTCAGTATGTCAACCCTTGGGGACGCCCTCAAACCGTGGTGGGCAGCCACTTGCTACATGTGGCCAATGCTGCCAAAGAATTGAAATTTTAATTTAATTACATTAATTTAAATCATCACATTTGAAGGAGATCTGGGGGGAGGTGTCTTAGGGTTTTTATTGCTGTGAAGAGACACCATGACCACAGCAACTCTTATAAAGTAAGACATTTTATTGAGGGGCTCGCTTACAGTTTCAGAGGTTCCGTCCATTATCATCATGGTGGGGTGTAACAGGAATCTTAAAAGTTCTTATTAATAAAATCAAACCTGAGGCAAGTTATTGGGGTCCATGCTGGTAGATCAGAGAGACAGAACAAGCCACAGCTATCTCACCTCGCCGGATCCTCAGCTGGTCTTGTCTCCTCAGACTGGAGGCCTCTGAGTCCTCATCCAGAATGGGTCTCATCTGAATTACTGCTCAAAAGCCTGAAGCTTAACCAGCCAAAATCTTCTAGTTTCTGGTCCTCACGCCTTATATATCTTTCTGCTTTCTACCACCACTCCCTGGGATTAAAGGCTGGCTTTCTGGGATTAAAGGTGTGTGTCACCATGCTTGGCTATTTCCAATGTGGCCTTGAACTCACTGAGATCCAGAGGGATTTCTACCTCTGGAATGCTAGGATTAAAGGTGTGAGTGCCACCATTTTCTAGCCTTTGTATCTAGTGGCTGTCTGTTCTCTGACCCCAGATAAGTTTATTAGAGTACACAATATTTGGGGGAACACAATACCACCACAGTGGGGAGCATAGCGGCATGCAGGCAGACACGGTGCTGGAGAGGAGCTGAGAGTCCTACATTTTGCAGGCAACAGGAAGTCGACTGACTGTCACACTGAGCAACAGAAACCTCAAAGCCCATCCCCACAGTGACACACTTCCTCCACCAAGGCCACACCTCCTAATGGTGCCAATCCCTTTGGGGGCCATTCTCCTTCAAACCTCCACAGTGTGTGTAGACTCTGAAGCAGCCCAGTAGCTAGACTCCGGGTACTTCTTTGAAAGCTGAGGGAAGTGAGACAGAGCCACGAAGGGAGAGCAAAAAATGGCCACTAGTAGAGGAGGGAAAAACTGAGAACATAGTACCCTGGAAGTTTATCCAGGAGGAGCAGTAACCAGCTTGTCAAATGCTGTTGGCAGGTGACTAAGACAAGATTGAAGGACGGTTCTGTGGAGTTAGCAATGGGGTCCGGCTCTGACGACAGAAGTTACTTTAGTGGGGTCTGGAGCCAAACCGCCTGAAGTAGCTCAAGATGAACTGGCCAGAGCACACAAGAAGTCATCGGGAGAGTCTGCTTTGATGCCTGCAAATAGAAAGGGACCAACAGCTTTGAAATGCATGGACCTGACCCGTGGAGGACGGGCAGGCACTCTGCTGGATTGTTGTGATGGCATGGGCGAAGTAGCTTGGAGAGCTCTCTCATAATAATAATAATAATAATAATAATAAAATTTTTGAGACAGGCTCTTACTGTGAAGCCTTGGCTAGCCTAAAACTTGATATGTGTACCAGATTGGCCTCAAACTCACAGAGATCCGCCTGCCTCTGCCTCCCAAGAGCTGGGATTAAAGGTGTGTGCCACCATGCCCAGTTTCTAAATTTTTAAAGATGATTTGATGTTTTTATATGTATGAGTGTTTGTCTGTATATAAGTACACCACATGTGTACCTGGTGCCCACAGAGGCCAGAAGAGGATGTTGGGTCCTCTGAAACTGGAGTTGCAAATGATTGTGAGCCACCATGTGGGTTGTGGGAACTGAACCTGGATCCTCCACAGAAACAGCAACTGCTCTAACCACCAGGCTGTCTTTCCAGTTCCCTCCCTCTCTAAAGTTTTTGATTGTGAGCCTGGCCTTTAATGGCTGATCCGTCCCTCCAGCCCCTCTCTCAAAATTTTAAATGTACAATATGGGGGCAGGCAAGATGGCAAAGGAAGTTGTTGGCAGGCCTGATGGACTGAGTTGAGTTCCCCAGACCCCAGGTGGTGGAAGGGGAGAAGCCGTTCCTGCAGGCCATCCTCTGACAGCCACACATGGGTTTTGGTGTGTACAGGAATATATGCCCCCCACACATTAAATGTACTGATTTCCAAGAGAAGGGTAGGCACAGAAATGTATACAGAATGCTTTGTGTTTATGTTTTAAAATGCCACACAGGGACACACACAGCTGAGCAACAGTATTCGTCTCTATAGGAGTGCTGGGGGGGAGGGGCACGGCTGGGGGGGAAGGGGCACGACTGGGGGGAGGGGCACGGCTGGGAGCTGTAGCTAGAGTTTTCCTGCTTTGCCCACAGTCAGGACAAATCTCTGTCACCCGCCAGTCCCACAGCTGCTCAGACCCGACCAAGTAAACACAGAGACTTATATTGCTTACAAACTGTATGGCCGTGGCAGGCTTCTTGCTTATATCTTAAATTAATCCATTTCCATAAATCTATACCTTGCCACGTGGCTGGTGGCTTACTGGCATCTTCACATGCGGCTTGTCATGGTGGCGGCTGGCAGTGACTCCTCCGCCTTCCTGTTCTTTCTTTTCTTCTCTCTGTTAGTCCCGCCTATACTTCCTGCCTAGCCACTGGCCAATCAGTGTTTTATTTATTGACTAGAGTAATTTGACATACAGACCATCCCACAGCACTTCCCCTTTTCCTTTCTTTTTTTTTTTTTTTTAAAGAGGAATGTTTTAACTTTTACACATCTCCAAAGCCAGCTTGGTATATTTGGGAATTTGGGCGTAGCTTCTCTTACTACTTCCTGCTGGAGGGGGGTGCTGTATCATATGGGGACACAAAGAAATTTTAGAATCATGGAGTAGTCCGTGAGGGTGTATCGTCTGAGCCAGTTGCCTTGAAACTGTTCTGGATGTTGGATCATCTGGGCCTTGGTGTCATCGGAGACCTTTCAGG